CCCCCAAAGTCACAGACATAAAATAGGAGGCTAAGACTAAACAAAATGATATAAACTGAGTGCCTCAAAAACATGCAGCACTCAGCCAACAGCAGTGAAGGGAAAAATCATTGGCTATTCAGACGAAACCTGCAAAATGTGGACTACTGTTCCCATTTCGAGGATGGGGCTACTGAGGCACAGAGAGGCACAGTCATTTGCCCAAGGACACACAGCCATAAGGTGCAAGACTGGGGTCATTTGAACCCGGACAGGCGCTGTTCTTCCCAGCCTGGGTTCTCCCGCACTGGATGTGTTAACTCACTTCATCCCCTCTGTAGTCCCAGGGGAGACTCCCACATTAATATTTTATCAATAGTTTTACTATTAATGTTTCATTCATAGATTTAATTTTAAATATTTTATTAACAGTGCTAACAAGAAGGTGTTAATTAATAGCTGTTTGGAGGGAGAAAGAGTCACAGCAAGGGGTGGCCACAGAGCCAGGACTCAGCATTCAGAGTCTGGCTCCTACCTGACCCTGGGAGACTCTCCAAGCCCCGCTGGGTAAGGACAAAGCTGAAAGAAGGTTTGGACAAGAGCACCCCACCTGACTCCGTTCCTGCATGACTGCATGACCTGTAGAGGTGCCCAAGTGTGTCTGGTGCCTTTATTTTTATTTTTTTATTTTTTTATTTTATTATTTATTTATTATTTATTTTTTTTTGAGACGGAGTCTCGCTCTGCCGCCCAGGCTGGAGTGCAGTGGCCAGATCTCAGCTCACTGCAAGCTCCGCCTCCCGCGTTTACGCCATTCTCCTGCCTTAGCTCCCGAGTAGCTGGGACTACAGCGCCTGCCACCGCGGCGCTAGTTTTTGTTATTTTTTTAGTAGAGACGGGGTTTCACCGTGTTAGCCAGGATGGTCTCGACTTCTGACCTCGTGGATCCGCCTGTCTCGGCCTCCCAAAGTGCTGGGGATTACAGGCTTGAGCCACTGCGCCGGCCTATTTTATTTTTATTTTTGTATGTATTATTATTATTATTTTTGAGACAGAGTTTTACTCTGTTGCCAGGCTGGAGGTGCAATTGGGCAATCTCGCTCACTGAAACTCCACTTCTGGGTCCAAGCAATTATCCTGCCTCAGCCTCCCAAGTAGCTGGATTGGCATGTGCACCATGCCCAGCTAATTTTTTTTTTTTTTTTTTTTTTTTGTATTTAGTAGAGATGGGTTTCACCATGTTGGTCATGCTGGTCTTGAACTCCTGACTCAGTGATCCACCTGGCCTCGGGACTCCCAAAGTGCTGGGATACAGTGTGAGCCCTGTCCCTGGCCTTACTTTTTGAGACACAGTTTCACTCTGTCACCAGGGTAGAGTTCAGTGGCGCGATCTTGGCTCACTGTAACCTCTGCCTCCCAGGTTCAAGCGATTCTTCTGCCTCAGCTTCCCGAGTAGCCGGGATTACAGGCATCTGCTGCCATGCGGAGCTAATTTTCGTATTTATAGTAGAGACAGGGTTTCACCATGTTGGCCAGGCTGGTCTTGAACTCCTGACCTCAGGTGATCCGCCTGCCTCAGTCTCCCAAAGTACTAGGATTACAGGTGTGAGCCACCACGCCCACTCTGATGCCTTTAGCACGCTACTGCCTCAATTTCCCCCATTTGAATGTCCCTTCTTTGGGCAGGCACTTTTCCCCACGGCCACCAGGTGGCCCCAGAGAGTTTTTTTAATGGGTGTTTTTGCCCATTTTACAGATAAGTAAACTGAGACGTGGAGAGGGAAGATAAGTTGCCCAAGTCCCCATGGAGAAGTCAAGCAGAACGAGGACGGTGGGGGCCAAGTCGCATGTGTAGATGCTCACATGAGTCAAATCACACACTCCTTTGCTCCGGACCCTCCCATGATCCCCCATTGCCCTCAGATCTGAATTCACACCTCCCCAGAGGTCCCATGTGGCCCATCCCCGCCTCACTTCTCTAGGCTTACGCTGTTCCAGTCTCTCCCCACTCCTCACTGTTGCCTGAATCAGCCAGGCTTATTTCCACCCCATGGCGCTTACCTGAATGCTTGCCGCCTGCTGATGCTTTGTCTTTTGGGTTACAGTCAGAGAGTCACCTCCTCCGAGAAGTCCTCCCTGACTAGCCAGGTAAGTGCCTCAGAGCACCCTCCAGCCATGGGTACAACTTCACATTTATTGTCATGATTATTTGCCTGTGAGTCCCTGGAGAGCAAGGCCAGGTCTGCCTTGTTCCCTGCTGTTCTCTCAGTACTTGGCACTTAGTAGATGCTCAATAAACGCTTGTAGCAGCCGGATGTGGTGGCTCTTGCCTGTAATCCCACACTCTGGGAGGCCAAGGTGTGTGGATCACTTGAGACCAAGAGTTTGAGACCAGTCTGGCCAACATGGTGAAATGTTGTCTCTACTAAAAATACAAATATTAGCCAGGTGTGGTGGTGAACACCTGTAATCCCAGCTACTGGGGAGGCTGAGGTAGGAGAATCGCTTGAACCCAGGAGGCAGAGGTTGCAGTGAGGCAAGGTTGTGCCACTGCACCCAGCCTGGGCAACAGAGTGAGAGACGCCATCTAAAAAATAATAAATAAATAAATAAATGCTTGTAGCATAAACAGAGAGCCTCTCCTTCCATCCTCCAGCCACAGTGATACGTTTTCAGCTCCTCACACGCCTGATCCTCTTGAGTGTGAGGCTTTGCACATTCTGTTCCTTCTACTTAGAATGCCCTTCTTGCACTCACCCTGGCTGACCTCTTTTCTCCTGCAGGCTAAGCTTAAATGTTACTTCTCCCAAGCAGTGCTCCCTGACTCCCACCCCACTGCTGAGTCTGGAGCCTCCTCTGTGCTTGTTCTCTGATCTTTCTCCATCACCCTGTGCCTTCTCCACTTGGTGTGAGTGTCTCCACCATAAGCCTTAGGGGACACAGCTTCTTGTCCATGGTTGTGTCCCCAACACAGGGCCTTCCATCCATTAAGTGCTTAAATGCCTTCTGAACCAAATGCTTGGACCCTCCCATACCCCTGTGATCCATCTGAGGCTCTGGGGAAGCACAGTCCTCCAACAGTTTCTAGGGTTGTGAAAAGAGCCACAAGCTGGGGACCCAATGTGTACCAGGCTCAGGCGCAGAATGTTCATCTCACTGATGAAGATGCTGAGGCTCTGGGAGGCACCACTGCTTGCTCAACACTACACAGCAGGTTGGCCTTGGGGCCTGGCTTTGAACTCAGTTCCTCTGAGCTTCCCCCTGGGGTGAACCCTTCCCCTCATATCAGCACAGAGAAGCACAGTGGGCCACATGCATGCACACCCACATATGTGTGACTGCAGTGCACATGATGCGCAGAACGACATGTGTGTGCACACACACACGTGCACAGGGACACCCAATCCACCGCTCCTGCCTCCCAGAGCCAAGCGGGGGCTTCCCCCAGAAGAGCTCATACCAAGGCTCTGTTTGTTCTTTCTTGAAAATGGAAAATCATGAGTCACCAGAAGGGATGGGGCAGCAGGAGCTGGAAGCCGGGGTGGGAGAAGGGGCTCCTGGGTCACCTGAGAACAGCTCCAACCCCTCTGGGCTGTGGGAACCATCTACCTGAGATGCCTCCCAAGATGCTGGAGGGCCAGGCTGGGGGGGAGAGGCCAGGCTTGCTGATGGAGTCAGAAGCCAGTGGCCCCTAGGGGATCTATGCACCAGAACGCGAGAAAGCCAAGCTCCAGGGTGGGGAATGAACACTTTCAAGGCCACCCAGCCTGGACTGAAACCTGGGACGCTGGTCCCGCTGACTTGGTTCTCCCTCCAACCTAAGGAGGGCTTGGAGTTCCTGGACCCTCCTCCCTGGCCCTGGAGCCTCCACCTGGTAGCTGGAGACCCTTATGTCAGGCCTCCTGAGGATTCTACATTATTTTTCCATGAGTCTCTTCTTCTGTCTCTGTCCTAACCCCACCCCATTCAGCTTACACGAAACAGGAGAAGCAGCCCCTCCTTAAACGAAAGAAATCTCTGGTGCACAAGCTTCCCAAGGGACTTCCCTTCCTCCTACAGGGGAGCCGGGTGGGGTGATGGAGCGGGGGCGGAGGAGGTAGCAAGAGGAGGCTCCTCCCCGCAACACTGGTGGCAGCCTGCCCTGGCCCTTATATATCTATAATATATGAAATAGGCTGAGTGCAGTGGCTTACACATGTAATCCTAGTACTTTGAGAGACTAAGGCAGGAGGATCACTTGAGGCCAAGAATTCAAGACCAGCCTGGGCAACATGGCAAAACCCCATCTCTAGCAAAAAATACAAAAATTAGCCAGGCGTGGTAATATGCCCCTGTAGTCCCAGCTACTGGAGACTGAGGTGGGAGGATAGCTTGAGCCTGGGAGGCAGAGGTTGCAGTGAGCCGTGATCAAGACACTGCACTTCTACCTGGGCGACAGAATGAGACTCTGTCTCAAAAATCAAAACGTGTGTGTGTGTGTGTGTATTTATATCCAAGCACCCCAGGGCTACCTCGGGTGCTTGAGGTGATCACAAACCTCCCCCACAGGCCTGCAGACATTCCACAATCCTGAAAACCTTCGGACCCCCAGCCATGTTAGCGCAAGGACAGTCACAGTCAGTCACACACCAACAGGCACCACAAGGGGAGACACACCGGCACACCCACAACTACCTGGGACACATGAAATCATATCCAAGCATGTAGGCACAGGAGCACCCCAAACACATCTGGTCACCCCAGTCTCACGCACGAGCGCGCGCACACACACACACACTCACAGAGTCTTTCGGTCCCAACCGCACGTGGGCATACCCGGTCACACAGACCCACAAGCCATGATGACACCAGCACCCTCAGCTCCACCCCTACGTAGAAATAGCTTTTTCCTTCCAAGCGCCAGCCTCAACCAAGCAGCAGAGACCCCCGCCCCCTGGAGAAGCAAGGACCCTCCCCCACTCCCGCCAGGCCCCGCGCGCCCCTCCCCCGCGCTGCAGGAGGCCCGTGCCCCGGCCACCTACCGCCTGCAGGAGGAAATGGGCCAGGAAAGCCGCGACTTCCCGAGCCCGGGCCGCGGGCTCAGGTCCCGCTCGCGGCGGCCCGCGGACTTGTCCGGATCCGAATAGAAGCGCTGTTGGATGCGGATGGGGCGCCGGGGTTGCCGCCACAGGTGCTTTGGGGCTCTGGTCATGCTGTGGCGGCCGCGAGAGCGACTCAACCTGCTGCACACCTCTGCCCCTTCGCTGACCCCAAGGGTCTCCATGGCCAGAGAAAGGGGTCTGGGATAGCAGGGAGCAGGAGTCGTCCCCGTGAGCGGGCGCCGAGGAGCGTCTGCTCTCGGGTCCGGCCCAGGGCCGGGAGTGGAAGCGACAGCGAGGAGCTGTCCGCGCCGGAGGTGCTGAAGCGGGAGAAGGTGGAACGGGGGCTCAAGGTGGGGCCGAAGCCGAGGAGCTGTCGATGCCCAGATGGTGCTGAAGGGTAGAACAGGGAAAAATAACGTGGCGAGGGGTGTTGAAGCTAGGGGCTGAAGAGACCCCCCACCCCAGCCCTGAGAACCGTCTGCCGTTCCCTCTAGCGCTGCATGGGAAAGAACCAAGACAAGGACTTGGAGTGGAGAAGACAGAAATTGTCCACTGATCGCTGCTAAATGGAGAGCAGGGAGACAGGGTCTAAGGAGACCCCCAGGGCCGAGACGCTGTCCCTCGCAACGTGCTGAAAGAGAAAAAGGTAGCTTTAGGGGCTGTGGGTGGATGAGACGGCGAGGAGCTGTCCGCGACCTGATGGTGCTGAGGGAAGGGGAGGGAGATAGGGGTTCAGAAGCACCCCCCAGACCAGGGCGTCATCCGCCCAGGAGGTGCTGAAACCTGAACAGTGACGGGCCCTCAACCTTCCCCAGCAACAATGGCAACAAGGAGTCTGGAAGCAGAGTCAAGGGTCTGGTCTTTGGAGGTACGTACAGATAGCGGTCTTTCTGCCAAGCCCAGGAAGGTAGGCTCCGCGGTTCAGCCCCAGAAGGGGTCTCTTTGGAGCCCTAAAACCCCCGCCCATGCCAGGCAGGGATCTGAGAAGGACAGGGAAATTGGCAAGGCTGTGACGGGGCCTCCCATGTCTGGGATGGGCACACAGAGGCTACCTCTGGCTGGAGCTCCAAACAGCTACCAGTAGGGATGGGCAAAGAGGGGAAGTCAGGTCTCTCTAAGAAACATCCTAGTTCTGCTTCTAAGATCCTCCCCACCCCCAAAGTTATGGTGCAGTTCAGTTGGGGGAGGACTGGCAGAAAACCCACCTTTTGTGGAAGCTCAGGACAGGCAGGAGGAGTATCTCTGAGACTCTCATGCTTTTAAAGCCGCAGCAACACTCAGACCCTCAGCGGAAATGGCAGAATCTCATTCGTCCTGAGAAAGTCCCAGGCCCCACCTCACAGCCACGATTCCTGCCCTCAAACCCCAGGCCTGCCCCTCCCTCCCAGTTCTGGAAACTCAAGTCCCCACCCACCAGGCATCTTAGTCTCAGGGGTAATTTCCTGGGAAGTGCAAGGATGGGTAAGAACATTTTCCATCATGGTTAACTGAAGTAGGCACGAACAGCGGCAGGGCTGGGCCGGTGAGTGTGGTGCAGAAAGAGGTAAGATTTCATAGTCCCAGGGTCATGACTCGGTGGAGGCCTCCTGTGGGCTCTGGGCTTGGGCAAGGAGTAATTTGGGGCCATTAGGGTGCCACTTACTGCAGCAGATTTGGGAAGAGCCCCGATGTTTTTGGAAGTCTCAGAAGCACTCTACAGGGTCTTCCCCATGGAGACCACCTCCCAGTGACCCCAGCCATGTCCCCAGCCTGGAGAAAAGGAAAATGTTTAGACCAGGATGTCAGAAAGACTGAATTCAAGCCCAGTACCATCATGTCTTGCTGTGTGACGCATGACAAATGACTCCCTCTCTGTTTTATGCTTCTGTGGTTCAGTCCCTGTTCTCCACCCCTACACCACCCCCAAGAACTGACTGTGGGAGACAACTTGGCTCACTGGTGAGGTACATGGTCACTGGCTGGCTCTGTCACTTCCCCACCCAAAGCCTTTTTTTTTTTTTTTAATATTCTGGAAAAGAGGGATAATAATGGTGTCTCCGACTCTCGGCATCATTGCGAGGACTAAAAGTGATGCCAGATATAAAGAGTCTGAGACCAGGAGCTGTGCATACCAGTGCCCCCTCTCCCCAGCTCCTGCTAACATCCACCAACAACTGGTGTGTCTAGTTGGTTTGTTTGTTTGACACAGAGTCTGTGTTGCCCAGGCTGGAGTGCAATGGTGCAATCTCGGCTCACTGCAACCTCTGCCTCCCAGGTTCAAGTGATTATCCTGCCTCAGTCTCCCAAGTAGCTGGGATTACAAGCACCCGCGACCACACCCAACTAATTTTTGTATTTTTAGTAGAGACGCAGTTTCACCATGTTGTCCAGGCTGGTCTCGAGCTCCTGACCTCAGGAAATCCACCCGCCTCGGCCTCCAAAAGTGCTGGGATTACAGGCGTGAGCCACCGCACCCAGCCCTGGTGGTGTGTCTACTTTGTAACTGTCATCCAAATCTCCTCACTTCTCTCCAGCCCATGGCTCCCACCCTGGTCCAAGCACCAGTATCTCCTGCCCAAGGCTCCTTCCTAGTCTCCTTGGTCTCCTTCCGCTCCTATCCCTGACAGTCAATGTTCCCCAACAGCAACCACAGGGAATTTTTTAAATGCCAGTATTGACCAACTGTCTCTCTGGAAAACACACCTCTTACTCTCCAGGGTACCCCATGAGGTCTTGCGTGTGGTTTCAGCTCCTGCCCACTTCCCGGGGCTCCCCTCCCACCCTCCAGCCACATTGATCTGTTTTCAGCTCCTCACACTCCTGATCCTCTTGAGTCTGAGGCTTTACTTCTGCTTGGAATGCCCTTCCCTGCACTCCCACTGGTTGACTTCTCTTCATCTCTCAGGCTAAGGATTTGTTTTACTGTTTTTTGTTTGTTTGTTTGTTTTGTTTTGTTTTGTTTGTTTTGAGACAGAGTCTTGCTTGGCTGCCCAGGCTGGAGTGCAGTGGTATGATCTCAGCTCATTGCAAGCTCCGCCTTCCTGGTTCATGCCATTCTCCTGTCTCAGTATCCCGAGTAGCTGGGACTACAGGCACCCGCCATCATACCTGGCTAATTTTTTTGTATTTTTAGTAGAAACGGGGTTTCACCGTGTTAGCGAGGATGGTCTCGATCTCCTGACTTCATGATCCACTCGCCTCGGCCTCCCAAAGTGCTGGGATTACAGGTGTGAGTCACCACGCCCAGTCTGTTTTTATTTTTTTAAGATGGTGTCTTGCTCTGTCACCCAGGCTGGAGTGCAGTGGTGCAATCTTGGCTCACTGCAACCTCCACCTCTCGGGTTCAAACAATTCTGCTCCTGAGTAACTGGGACTACAGGTGTGCACCACAACTAATTTTTGTATTTTTAGGAGAGACAGGGTTTCACCATGTTGGCCAGGCTGGTCTCGAACTCCTGATCTCAAGTGATGGACCAGCCTCGGCCTCCCAAAGTGCTGGGATTACAGGCATCAGCCACCACACCCAGGCCCTCAGGCTAAGTTTAAATGCCTCTTCTTCCAGGTAGTCCTCCCTGAGCCCCCTCCATGCGGGGTCAGGAGCCTCCTCTGGGCTCCTCTGGTCTTCTCCATCACGGCATGATTACTTTGTCCTGTCTCCGGTATGATCTGTCTCCACCATCAGCCTATGGGCACCTCCTTGTGCATGGCTGTGTGCCTACTGTGTGCCCAGTACAGGGCCTGGCACACAGTGGGTGCTAACTTAATAAATGCTTTCTGGATGAGGTCAAGAAGGGTTCAGATGGACGAACTGCTCTTCCTCTCCTGGGGCCGGCCCCTTTAATCCCCATCAGCCTTCTCACCTACCTGGGACCACCCTGTCTTTTCTCTGTCCCTTGAGCCTCGGTGGTGAACACCACATGGGTACTGGGCTCGACTTCTCCAGGTGGCACAAGGCGACTCGGCAGCGATGGAAGCAATGGGGTCCCCGAGAATCCTCTCCGGATGATACCACCACCAAGGGAGGCTCAAAGGGGCCAAGCCAGAATCCACCAACTCCCAGATCCACTGGAAGAAACCAGAAAGACGTGAGCAAGTTCTTGGTCACGGGACCTCTCTAGGACCCTGAAATGCCCTCACCCAGACACCTGGACTGGCCTAGAGAGCTGTGTCTCAATCCCACTCTCCTGAGGGAACTTACGTCTCTGAGTCTCAGTTTCCTCATCCGTGAAGTAGGGATCTCAAACGTGGGGGTATATAAATAGTGCCTAGTCCAGGCCAGGTGCTGTGGCTCATGCCTGTAATCCCAGCACTTTGGGAGGCCAAGGCAGGTGGATCACCTGAGTTCGGGAGTTTGAGACCAGCTTGACCAACATGGAGAAACCCCACCTCTACGAAAAATGCGTTAGCTGGGCGTGGTGGTGCATGCCTGTAATTCCAGCTACTCAGGAGGCTGAAGCAGAAGAATCGTTTGAACCTGGGAGGCGGAGCCGAGACTGTGCCATTACACTCCAGCCTGGGCAACAAGAGGGAAATTCCATCTCAAATATAAAAAAATAGGCCAGGCATGGTGGCTCACACGTGTAATCCCAGCACTTTGGGAGGCCGAGGCGGGTGGATCACCTGAGGTCGGGAGTTCTAGACCAGCCAGACCAACATGGAGAAATACTGTCTTTACTAAAAATACAAAATTGGCTAGGCGTGGTGGCACATGCCTATAATCCCAGCTACTAGGGAGGATGAGGCAGGAGAATAGCTTGAACCTCAGAGGCAGAGGTTGCGGTGAGTCGAGATCATGCCATTGCACTCCAGTCTGGGCAACAAGAGCGAAACTCCATCTCAAAACACTAAATAAATAAATAAAAATAAAAATAAAAGATATAAATAAATAAATAGTGCCTGGTCCAGCTGGGTGCGGTGGCTCACGCCTGTAATCTCAGCACTTTGGGAGGCCGAGGCAGGTAGATCACGAGGTCAGGAGATCGAGACCATCCTGGCTAACACGGTGAAATGCCATCTCTACTAAAAATACAAAAACATTAGCCGGGCGTGGTGGCGGGCGCAGGAGAATGGCATGAATCCGGGAGGTGGAGATTGTAGTGAGCCGAGATCGGGCCACTGCACTCCAGCCTGGGTGACAGAGTGAGACTCCGTCTCAAAAAAAAAAAAAGGGCCTGGTCCACAGTGGACACTGCAGAAATATTTATTTATTAACTAATAATAGCATGCTCAGTAGGGCACGGTGGCTCACGCCCGTAATCCCAATACTTTGAAAGAGTCGTTTGACCCCAGGAGTCCTCGGCAAGCCTGAGTAACATAGTGAGACCCTATCTCTACAAAAAATAAACAAGATTAGCCAGGCATTGTGGTGTGCGCCTGTAACCTCAGCTACTCAGGAGGCTGAGGTGGGAGGGCTGCTTCAGCCCAGAAGGGCAAGACTGTAGTGAGACAAGATCATGCCACTGTACTTTAGTTAGGGTGGCAGAGTGAGACCCTGTATCTCTCTCTCTCTCTCTCTCTCTCTCTTTTTCTTTGAGATGGAGTCTCACTCTGTCAACCACATTGGAGTGCACTGGAACAATCTTGCCTTACTGCAACCTCCGCTTTCCGGGTTCAAGTGATTCTCCTACATCAGCCTCCTGAGTAGCTGGGATTACAGGTGCCTGCCACCAGGCCTGGCTAATTTTTTTGTATTTTTAGTAGAGAGGGGTTTTCACCATGTTGGCCAGGCTGGTCTTGAACTCCTGACCTCAAGTGATCTGCCCACCTCGGACTCCCAAAGTGTGGGGATTACAGGCATAAGTCACTGTGCCCAGCTGAGACCCTGTCTCTAAAAATAAAAATAAAAAAAAGAGTATGTTTATTTTTATAACATATTATATGCTATATAATGTTATTTATTATAATGCTATGCACCATAATGATATTCTATCATTTATTTTTTTCTTACATTTGAGATCCCAATATATTATTTATTAAAATATAAAAGTAAGGCTGGCCGGGCGCGGTGGCTCAAGCCTGTAATCCCAGCACTTTGGGAGGCCGAGACGGGCGGATCACGAGGTCAGGAGATCGAGACCATCCTGGCTAACACGGTGAAACCCCGTCTCTACTAAAAAATACAAAAAGCTAGCCAGGCGAGGTGGCGGGCGCCTGTAGTCCCAGCTACTCGGGAGGCTGAGGCAGGAGAATGGCGTGAACCCGGGAGGCGGAGCTTGCAGTGAGCTGAGATCCGGCCACTGCACTCCATCCAGCCCAGGCGACAGAGCGAGACTCCGTCTCAAAAAAAAAGACAAAAAACAAATAAAAGTAAGGCTGGGCACGGTGGGTGGCTCATGCCTGTAATCCCAACACTTTGGGAGGCCAAGGCAGGTGGATCATAAGGTCAGGAGTTCGAGACTAGCCTGGCCAACATAGTGAAACCCTGTCTCTACTAAAAATATGAAAATTAGCTGAGTGTGGTGGCACGTACCTGTAGTCCCAGCTACTCAGGAGGCTGAGGCAGGACAATCACTTGAACCCAGGAGGTGGAGGTTGCAGTGAGCGGAGACCACACCATTCACTCCAGCCTGGGTGACAGAGCAAGACTCTGTCTCAAAAAAAAAAAAAAAAAAGTAAAACATGCAGTAAATAAGCAAATGAATAATAACGATAGTACTAATGGCTAACATTTTCTGCACAATCACTCTATATAAATGCGGTTCCAATAGTACGTGGATGGGCTCATGAAGGCATAATGAAGCCATTTAGCACCATTATTTCCATTTAACGAAAAAGGAAATGAAGGCTCAGAGGTTAAGTAACTAGAGCCCAGGGTTGCAATTCATAAATAAACGCAATTCTGAGCTTCAGTGCCGAGTTCCTTGAAGGAAGGACTGAATGAGAAATTAAATGAGATGCTGTTTCCCAGCAGGCTCTGGATAA